AGAAAGAAAGAAAGAAAGAAAGGAAGAAAGGAAGGAAGGAAGGAAGGAAGGAAGGAAGGAAGGAAGGAAGGAAGGAAGGAAGGAAGGAAGGAGAGGGAGGGAAGAAAATTATGCAGAAATTTAGAAAATATATTGTGGTGCTGTAGTAGAACTAAATACGGTCTATAAATTCATCAAGAAAACTTTTGTTTTTAGCTATCACCTCTTGCTGTAAACTAGGAAGCTTAACATACCATAGAATTAATCAAATTTGAGGTATCTCCAGGATTAACATTAATACCATAAAGTATGTGGTCCCTCTAAAACTTGACAGTGTAGCATATTTGTACACATTTCATGTCCTTAATTGTAGAATTCCTTGACCTATCTGAAAAGCTTGATTTCATCATCTATATGATGAGACATACATCTATGGATAAGATAGCTTATAGAAAGATGAAATGAATGATTGTTTGTCAATAAACAGTGACTCTGCCTAGAAGATTTTATTAAAGGCAAAGAACTTCTAAAAAATGGCTCTATATCAATGTTTATTGCTATTTTTATGATCTTTCTAAATATCGTTTTATGGCCTCTTATTTCATAGACACAAGAGGGAAATGTTAACAAATTATCTCCTTTAATTATTATGTTTAACTTACTGGTTTGTCCTCAGTGAAAACAATTAGCTTTATCTCTTTCATGTTCTACTTAAATCATAGGGATATCCAGGTCTTCCTGGGGTTCCAGGGCCTGTGGGTCCATTGGGATTACCCGTGAGTACAAAGTATATTTTATGATCCCTTTTACATGATCTATTTTAATTTAAATTACTCACTTTTGTGCTATCTTTGCTTATTCTGTATAAAATAAGTCATTTGTAAAGTTGTCATAACTGCTTCTCTCCCAAATGATAGAAAACCCTCTGGAATATGTCCTGGTATCTTGAATTTCCTTACCCTTACTTGGTATATCAGCCAATTCCAGTTTCGTAACCTAAATTTAAAAATATTGATGCTTTCCATTGAATAATCACAGATAAGAAAACAAGATCACTGATCAAAACTAAAGTTGAGGCCTCAACAAATCACAAACATAAATTTCAATATTTTATTAGAATTTTGTAAATTTTACCAGTTAAAATTCATAGGAAATACACCTTTAGTAGACAAAAACTTGAGTTCTGAAATATTTTTGTTTGTAAAAAAAAAAATTAAT